TACCTCAAAACATGTTTCTTTGTCATATTTTGAAATGGCCCTGCAAAAGCTGTCCTTGGTGAGGGAAAATTTACATCTGTAAAGAATCTCTGTTGGCAGGTGGAGGGGAGTGTGGTGGTTTAGGCCTGTAATCCCAGCACTTCAGGGAGACCAAGGTGGGCAGATCACATGGTCAGGAGTTCAAGGTCATCCTGGCCAATATAGTGAAACCCCGTCTCCACTAAAATACAGAAATTAGCTAGGCATGGTGGTGCATGCCTGTAGTCCCAGCTATTCGGGAGGCTGAGGCAGGAGAATTGCTTGAATCCGGGATGTGGAGGTTGCAGTGAGCCGAGATCAAACCACTGCACTCCATCCTGGGCTACAGAGGGAGACTCCATCTCCAAAAAAAAAAAAAGAAAATTAAACCCCCTACTGCTAACCACAATCCTATCTGTAGACCACAGGCACGGTATGGGGGAACCTTATCCCGGAAGTCATTGTCCTTGCTCAGCCTCTCAAGACCGCCATCTAGTCACGCCCCCCACGCTTGCTAAATCAACCACGACCCTCTCACAAGTGCACCTCTTACATCTCTTAGATTGTGAGCCTTTAAAAAGGCCAGGATTTTCCTTGTCGGAGAGCTCAGTTGTTGAGGTGTCTATGCCTGCCGCAGCTCCCAGCCGAATAAAATTACCACTTCCTTCATTATTCGGTGTTCCAGAGGTTTATTTGTGGCTGCCACTGCCTCAGGCCAACATGATGAAACCCCCTGTCTACTAAAAATAATAAAATGGGCATGGTGGCGGGCGCCTGTAATCCCGGCTACTCGGAAGGCTGAGGCAGGAGAATCACTTGAAGCTGGGAGGCAGAGGTTGCAGTGAGCCGAAATCATGCCATTGCACTCCAGCGTGGGCAACAAGAGCAAAACTCCATCTCAAAAATAAATAAATAAAAATAAACAATTTCCTCAATTTATAAGTCACCATATCAATATATTCAATGTGGATTATTTTATTTCTTCCATGATGGGTCATGGAATGCAGAACCTTTAATAACAAAAGCTTTAAGGACTCAGGAAGGACAAGGCGGCCGTCCTGGTTCTCCAGGAGTCCATGCTTAACACTGGACTCATGTCCTCTGGAATACCCTTTGTTTCTCCAATGTGGGTGTGTAGCACTGATACCCAATGGGTTAGCATAGGTAATCTGACTTAGACCATTGAGTTCATTCAAATTGTCTATCTAAATAATTTTAGTATGGGCCAATTTAGCATGATAATCTGGCAAAGTATTTTTTTGGTATGTAATTCATTTTTGTTTTACTTATGTTAGCAGTTTTATAAACCTGTCAGTTTTTGTTTTTTGTGTTTTTTGTGTTTTTTTTTTTTTAATTGAAGCTACAGGAATTCTTACCCAGGAGTTACAGGAATTCTTGCAGAATTGGGGAATTCATGGGGAATTCTTACCCATGATATGACATTTTAAAATGTATTTACTTTTCTATGACATGATTTTAAAGTTATTAGAGGCCTGTATTCAAGAGTGCTTTTCGGAGTTCTTTCCATCCTTTTACGAATCTTTTAAAAGATACCATCTTCTAGGATTTTGCATGCTTGTAAAGTTTTCAGAAACTGCATCAGCCTTAAGCAATTAACTGTGGAAATGACTTTAAATAGTTATAGTTTTTATTTATTTATTTTATAATTTGAGATGGAGTCTCTCTCTGTTGCCTAGGCTGGAGTGCAGTGGTGTGATCTTGGCTCATGCAACCTCCACCTCCCGGGTTCAAGTGATTC